TTGTTTTCCGACACAACAAGCTGTTCCCTGCACATCTTGTGCTTTTCCTGTTCCAGCCCTGGAAACGGGGTTTCTACAAGGGTCGCTTAGTAGAGACAGGCACGGTCTTTAGGAGCCAAATCTGGGCACAGGGAGCTTTTCAGGTGTCTCTGCTCCCAGGCCCTCTCAGGGGACAGAGCAGGGAGTCAATGAACACGTATGTTTGTCCTGCAAACAAAGGTGCACACACGTGTATTCACATCTGTTTTTATTTATTTTTCATAAGTAGATTACATCATCAGTCACAGAAGGACAAACACACTATGATTCACTCGCAGGACGAAAGTAGAGCAGTCACTTCAGACACAGAAAGGAGCCTGGTTGGTGGCTGCCAGGCTGGGATGGGACAAGGTGGCTGCCCTATTAGGAGACCACAGACTGGGTAATTTATGAAGAAAAGAGATTTAGTTAGCTCATGATTCTGGAGGCTGGGGGTCCAAGAGCGAGGGGACACATCTGTGACAGCCTTCTTGCTGTGGCTTGCATGGTAGAGGGTTGACCAAAGGGGAGAGAGAGAGAAAATGAGGCCACATCCTCCCTATGTGAAGGACTCATTCATGGGACAACTAATTCATGCCCATGACAATGGCCCTAAACCCACTGGTCAGGGCAGAGCCCTCATGAGCGCCCCCTCCAATGTCATTCCATTGGGGATTAAGTTTCCAACACATGAATTTGGGGGGACACATTCCCACCAAAGCCACACAGTGTATTTGACAGTTTAAGCACTGACATTTACAAGAGTCACTTTTTTTTTTTTTTAAGTCAGAGTCTCACTCTGTTGCCCAGACTAGAGTGCCATGGCGCTCACCTAGCTCACAGCAACCTCAACTCCTGGGCTCAAGCGATCCTCCTGCCTCAGCCTCCCGAGTAGCTGGGACTACAGCATGCGCCACCGTGCCTGGCTGAGTTTTTCTATATATATTAGTTGGCCAATTAATTTCTTTCTATTTATAGTAGAGACGGGTCTCGCTCTTGCTCCAGGCTGGTTTTGAACTCCTGACCTCGGAGCAATCCGCCCGCCTCAGCCTCCCAGAGAGCTAGGATTACAGGCGTGAGCCACCGCTCCTGGCCCCAATTAACTTCTTTCTATTTTTGGTAGAGAGGGGGTCTCGCTCTTGCTCAGGCTGGTCTCGAACTCCTGAGCTCAAATGATCCGCCCACCTAGGCCTCTCAGAGAGCTGGGAATACAGGCGTGAGCTACCACCCCAGCCACAAGAATCACCTTATTACTTAGAAGAGTTTACAGGACTCTTATAGAACAATAGATAAAATAAAAAATGAATAATCTGTGGCTCACGCCTGTAATCCTAGCACTCTGGGAGGCCGAGGCGGGCGTATTGCTCGAGGTCAGGAGTTCAAAACCAGCCTGAGCGAGACCCCGTTCACCATAAAAAAAAAATAGAAAGAAATTAATTGGCCAACTAATATAATAAATATCAAAAATCAGCCGGGCATGGTGTGCATGCCTGTAGTCCCAGCTACTGGGAGGCTGAGGGCAGGAGGCATCGCTTGAGCCCAGGAGTTTGAGGTTGCTGTGAGCTAGGCTGACGCCACGGCACTCACTCTAGCCTAAGGCAAGAAAGCGAGACTCTGGTCACGCCTGGTCTTCAAAAACAAAAAAAAAAAAAAGAATAATCTATAAAATTATATAGTATCAGCTTAAATATCGTATATGAAAAGAGTTAATTAAGTTCTAAGCTTTATAAATAGAATCTGAATGCCAACAGATAGCATCTCCTCCCTTAGGACAGATTGGATTGTTCCCTAATTACACTGAGAATTTCAAAGGGACAGTATAAAGCTTAAGAAAACCTAAGATTTTTAAAG